AGAACGAGTGGATGGCTTCAAATTATTTATAGAGGAGATAATATATTGTTAAGTGTTCCAATAGTTGCCTGGTCAGTCGAAATTTTAATATAAATTTTTGTATTCTAATTAAGCTTTATTGCTGGTTATGGCATAAAGGTATCAAGTTATTACTCAAGCTTTGTTGTTATTCGGTTTGAGTTACGTAATTTGTTTAATTTGCAGAAGATTGTTATAGTGGTTGGGAGTTTTTTATTTTTTATTTATTATGTTTTTTGGATTTTTTTAAATGTTCTAATTTTAATCATGATATTAAGGTTGGGTTAAATTATTGTCACTTAAATTGGGCATTTTTTTCTAAATTTTTATTGTGTAGTTACTAGTTAGCACTTACTTTCCAATCTTTCCTAATGCATTCTAAATGAAAAGATTGAGTAGTTTAAATAAAATTAATAAGATTGAAATGTCTATCTTAATTATTATATGTAAATAAGCATTTTTTTTAATTTTTATTTTAAACAGTTATGGAGAAATATTATAAAAGAAAATCAGGGTTGGCACCTCAGCCACCTCCTATAGAGAGAGATGATGATCGAACATTGAAGCAAAGTCGTTCCGACATCAACTTGGAAAATCTTCCAGCGGATCCAGGATTACGAACTCGAATCTTGGATTACCATCCTAATATTCGAGATGACATTCGTAGAGCATATTATCTTAAGGGTCCTTGTCAACCCAAGACTCATCGTTTTCCCTATACGAGTTTTGGGAAAGCAACACGTCGTTTTAACCCTGCTTGGTTTAGTGAATATTCTAATTGGCTAGAATATAGTATAACAAAAGATGTAGCGTTTTGCCTATGTTGTTATCTTTTAAAGCCGGATATTGGAGAACAAGCAGGAGGTGAATCTTTTGTGGGTGAGGGGTTTTCAAATTGGAAGAAGAAAGAAAAATTTCAAACTCATGTTGGAGGTCCCAATAGTGCCCACAACCAAGCTTGGAGATCATGTGAAGCTTTGGTGAACCAAAAACAACACATTCAAACAATTTTATGCAAGCAGTCGCACCAATCTAGAAATGAATATCGGACTCGTTTGACTGCATCAATTGAATGTATCCGATATCTTTTACACCAAGGACTTGCCTTTCGTGGCCACGATGAATCTAAAGATTCAAGCAATCAAGGAAACTTCCTCACACTTTTGAAATTTCATGCTCGTCACAATGAGGATGTTAGAGCCGTTGTATTGGAAAATGCTCCTGAAAATCTGAAGTTAACATCACCTGAGATTCAAAAAGAGATTGTAAATGCCATTGCAATAGAGGTTGTCAATTTTATTATTAGAGATATTGGAGATGGATTTTTTTCTATTTTAATTGATGAGTCTCGTGATGTATCAATAAAGGAGTAAATGGCTATTGTGTTACGTTACGTGAAGAATGGAAGTGTCATTGAACGTTTTATTGGTATGGTACATGTTACCGATACAACTGCTCTCTCACTCAAGATGGCGATTGATAATGTATTTTATACACATGGATTGAGCATTTCTAGATTGCATGGGCAAGGTTATGATGGGGCTAGTAATATGCAAGGTGAGTTCAACGGTCTCAAAACACTAATTCTGAAAGAGAATGAATTTGCTTTTTATGTTCATTGTTTTGCTCACCAACTTCAGTTGGCTTTTGTTGCTGTGGCAAAGAATCATGGCCAGATTTCCACTTTTTTCGTATTTGTTGCTAATGTGGTGAATGTAGTTGGAGCCTCGTATAAACGTCGTGATATGCTTCGCGAGAAATAAATTGCTGAAGTTATTGATGGACTTAACAAAGGCGAGCTCACAAGTGGGCAAGGCCTAAATCAGAGTACTTCTCTTGTACGTGCAGGAGATATCCGTTGGGGCTCACATTATGGTACTTTAATTAGCTTGATTACATTGTTCTCATCTGTAATTGCTGTTCTTGAGTTTATTGAAAAGGATGGATTGAAATCTGATCAAAGAGGCGAAGCATCTATTCTACTTGGGTCAATACAATCATTTAATTTTGTATTCAATCTCCATTTGATGAAGATATTGTTGGGCATGACAAATGAATTATCCAAAGCATTACAAAGAAAAGATCAAGATATCGTGAATGCCATGGACCTTGTCAAAGTATGTAAGCAACGACTACAAATGATGAGGGATGATGGATGGGATTCTTTGCTTGATGAAGTTTCTTCCTTTTGTGAGAGACGTGAGATTGATGTTCCCAACATGGATGATATGTTCATTACTCAAGGACGACGATGACGAAATGTGCAAGAAATGACAAACTTGCATTACTATCGTGTTGAGTTGTTTTATTCTGTCATAGATATGCAACTTCAAGAGCTAAATAATCATTTCAATGAGGCCAATACTGAGTTACTTCTTTGTGTGGCATGTCTATGTCCAGATGATGCATTCTCTACTTTTGACAAGCAAAAGATCACTCGCTTTGCTGAATACTATCCAAAAGAATTTTCTGTAGCTAAGCTCATAGAGCTTGGTAGTCAACTTGAAACTTATATTCTTGATGTGCGCTCTAATATCAAGTTTGAAAGATTGAAAGGGATTTCCGCTCTTGCAAAAAAAATGGTTGAAACAAAAAAAGACAAGGTATATCAATTGGTGTATCTACTTGTGACAATGGCATTAATCTTACCAGTCGCGACTGCCACGGTGGAGAGGGCATTTTCTGCTATGAATATTGTAAAGAATGAATTGCGTAATCGGATGGGAGATCAATTTATGAATGATAGCTTGGTTGTGTATATTGAAAAAGAAATATTTAGGGGCATAGATAATGAGGCTATCATTCAACGCTTTCAAAAGATGAAAAGCCGTCGAGGGCAGTTGTAATTGTATTCAATGAAATATTATCAACTAATATTTTGGATCTTATATGTGTCAAGTATTATATTTTAGTTCTTTTTATTTAAATATCATATCAACTTGATACCTGTTTAGTTCTTTAGATAAACAAATAAATTCTTTTATGGGTATTTTCAATTCACATTATTGAAGAACATTTAGTTTCCATCTTAGTTTAAGATAAAAATAATAAAATACAATCTTGTTTGCTTTGGTTGTCAAGATTCACTATGCGCTTGGAGACTCAGAGAGTGGGTATAATTGCTTTGGAATGGCTCCTGCACTCCTAGTTCATCCAGTATTTCACCTTGCCAGGTAATTCTTTTTTTGTCTTTTGAAAATGGTGACTTTGCTCTATTTTTTTTTTAGATACTAAATTAGATACTAATTCTATATTTTCCTTTGAAAATAGTGACTTTGCTCTGTTTTCTATTTCCTTTTTTTATTTTTTTTTTTGTCTTGTTTGTCTTTTGATGTGAAAATTCTATTTTTGTCGTTGATTTTTTTTTTTTTTTCCTATCAAATACACTATGTCCCCCCCTGGAATGAAATTCTGGCTCCGCCCCTGCGTGTATCTCAATACAATTTCTTAAATTATAAGAATCAATTATACATGTTGATTCAAATGTGTGAGTTTCTGAATTTGTTGTGTTTTAGTCCAAAAATTATTATGTTTTCAAGGAATGGTGATAATATGACATTTTTGATCGGAGTGAAAATGGTGCCATTATTAAACGTGATATTACATTGTCGGTACCTTTGATAAATCAAAAATATTCTCAGCTGCTTAAGCTCATTAACATATTATTAATGAGTAAATCACATAGTTCAAATCTGAAGGGATGGGGTTCATAATCAGAGTATTTAATTATAGGCGTTATATGAAACACCATTGACATAAAAGTATTTAATTATAGGAGTTTTCTTTTCTGAGAATCATTTTCGTTACTAATATAGTAATATCGTTCAACAACATGGCAAACATGGTCATGACAAATTTAAAACTTTTGTTCAATCAACCAAATTATAATATTAATGTTTATAACACATAGTTGAGATATCCATATCTGGGACCTATTGTGGGTAATACAAACCTAGCGTCCGTCTTTTGAAGGAATTGTAATACACCCTTTGCCAACTGTCTAATCTTACTTGGGGGCAACAATCTAATTCTAAATTTGTTTTAAAGTTTTACAATATGTTAAGACACGTTAAAAATAGCTAAATTTTCTGGACTTGGAAGTCAAGATGTCTTAAATAAGTTTATATATCTTATTAGTTGCTCCACTAAGCTAATTGAATATTTACCCAGTTAATTAAGTAAAAAAGTGCGATGTCCCCATTCCTTGGTGGGAGAAGTTTATGACACATATATGTATAAATGTTCGGTGAATTAGTCTAACCAGTAAGGGGAATACTTAAACTGATTAAGTTGTAATCAGGCTAAATTTTAAATTTGTCCTGTGCACATGGCCTGTGCGGGTGTTGAGTGTATCCCGTAAGGTGTGGGGATATCTCATTTGTCAAAAGAACGGTGCATGTGAATGCCAACTAATTGTGGGTGAGACGAGACAGATGGTATCAGAGTTAATTCTCATCTAAAAACGAGGAAAGCGTGCACAAACCCATTAGGGTCAAGTCAGCGAGAAAATTGGGTCCGAAGAGGGAGTGATTGTGACATGCTAAATCTCCTATCGGGAGAACTTGCTAGTACTTATATGTGTGAATGCCGTCCGTATAAAAAGTATAAAAAGTGACAATACCTTCGCAGCGGGACGGATGGTGACAAAAAATTCTATGCATCTGTCATGCATGTTCATGCAATATATAAGAGCACAAGCTATGTCATGGCATAGCTGCATTGGCTCAGTTGATATTTGCTCTTATAAGTGTCACCCAACTTTTGACTTCTGCCTGCAATATGCACACAAAATTGAAAGAAAAAAAACACATTTGCTATGTTTCTTGCACTCAATTAATCTTTTAATCAATCAACAACAAGCTACTACATTTTTATTTCTTTTTCACACTTTACTTGCACTAGTGAGCTTCCCTCCAAATCTCCTATAAAACCAGAACCAGATGATAGAAAGCTCAAAAGTTAATTATTTCAACATCTTTACCATGAAGTCCTCGAGTCAAGCAGTCTCATTCATGTCTATTCTCATGCTGCTTCTCCTACTTGCTCCGTCTTCTGAGGCTGCAATTGCGTGCAGCGACGTGATCAAGGACCTCCGGCCATGTCTGAGCTACCTGCAGAGCGGGTCAGGGAAGCCACCGGCTACTTGTTGTGCCGGAGTCTCGGCACTGGCATCGGCTGCAAAAACCACTGCTGACAAGCAAACTGCTTGCAACTGCATTAAGAATGCAACCAGCAAAGTAAGCGTGAAGCCCGAATTAGCCAAGGCTCTTCCATCAAACTGTGGAATCAGCCTGTCCTTCACTGTCTCCCCCAATGTGGACTGTTCTAAGTACTACTTTTACTAGTTCCTCTTTACTCATCACACTTCTTTAATTTGCACACACTGACACACACATTGTTTTGTATTGACCTTTTTTAATTTCTTTTGTTTTTGTTTTTTTTGTGTTCTTTGCAGAATAACTTGAATCTGGAGTACACATGAAAATGCTTCTATTCCTCGTGGAGAAGCTTAACCTATGTTGCAATAAACTGGATCTTGATGGTGTCCTTTTCCATTCCTGCCATAAATTATGCTTTACTACTAGTAGTTAACTTTTCCATGTTTTGGTTAAAATAAATGTATTTTCCCATTTTCAGGTGAAAATGCAGTGAGATTATTATGTTATTGTATAATGTTTTGAGATGAGTTTATCTTACTGATCTACAGCTTTTATTATAAATCTGATTTGCACTTTTTATAAATGTCATTGATGTGCTGTTTAGACGGTTTGGCTCCTACAATTTGCAAATTAAAAAACAACAACAACAACAACAACAACAACATGGTTGAAGATCAAACTGTAGACACAAATTTCTAGTCTAAATATAAGATTAAAACGTGTACAAATAAATCAACATTATTAATTTCAATATATTTTGGGTACACACAATTATCTTTTATTAAAAATAATTATCATTTCGTTTAACTATAACCTACTTCTAAATGGGCTTGGGCTAGTTTGATAATCTACTGTAATTTAACCCGTGAAAGTTGGATTGGACCAGTTGAATAACTTAAGTTTAACTCCTGGACTCATATTTGGTAATGAGCCCAATTTGTCCTGAATAGAGGTCTGCATTTTGACCGATTCATCAAACACAGATCTTGATTCTTTTACTGATCCAACATGCTGTGAAACATATTGTACAAAGGCTCTGTTGTTTTAACGTAAAATATTCTTTTATTTTTACTTGTCGATGTTTGGTAAAGATCTATGTGGAGATTGAGGTCGAGTCCATCAAGCTGGACATGTAAAATAATTTATCGAAAATGGAAAAATTATTTTTGTTAAATTTTAATATATTTTTTCTTCATAAATATTTTACGACAACTAAACACTAGAAAATAAAAAAATATTTTCTGAAAAATAGTTAACAGAGCCTAAATAACAGTTAAAAAATAAATAAATAAATAAATAAATAAGCAGACATGAATCTACAGAGGAGAGAGGCCTTTTAATTTAATGGGCCCAATTGTAGTCCGTCCCACCAATAAACGGGGACAAAAACAAAACCTCATTAAACCAATATAAACACTCCAACTTTTTTGGCTAGGCCCAATTGGGCCACACATTGTATTGAATTCAGATGTGGTTTTTTTGCCAAATCAGAACTCTAGAAGTCATAATTCCACTGTGAATCATCATCAGATTCGACCGTTCTACACTTCTACGCTTGACAGAATTAATTTGATAGAAGTTTTCTTTTTTGGGAACCATTTTCCTAACTAATCTAGTAACTTTTTTCCACAGCTTGTCGAACATATATGTTCATGGCTCAATTAAACAAATTTGTTCACGCAATCAATTACTATTATTAATGCTGAGGAAAATGATAAAGCATTGATTGGTTTCTATTATAAATTGATGTGACAATCATTGAAATAAACGTCGAGGAGGAGAAAAATTATATCCTTACAGACTAATAATCCTTGTTGAACACTATTTATTTGAGTTGCACAATAAAACTCATTGTTATTTGTAGCATTACTGTAATGCTTATACCACATAGTTGAGATATCCATTTCAATCTTCTCAACCCTAATTAGATTGTGCCAACTGATTAATCTTGCGGCCAACAATCTTCTAAAATATGTTTTCAAGTTTATAATACATTGACAGGTTAAAAATGAAGCAAAATTTGTAGAGTTAATCGAGGTAAAGATGTCTTAAATCAGTTTATATATCTCATTAGTTGAGGAAAAAGATTCAAGTGTCTGTGAGAGCACAAGCTTCATTGGATCAGTTGATATGGGTCTTGACAGTGTCATCCAACTTTGACTTTTGCCTCCAAATATGCACACAAAATTGAAAAATCAAAGATGAACACACATGTTCTTATGTTTCTTGATCAACTGGATCAATTAATCTCTTAATCAATCAGACAACTAGCTACAACAATTTTTAAATTATTTTTCATGCACTTGTGAGCTTCCCTCAAATCTCCTACTATTCCTATAAAATCCGAACTAAATGAACTGGTAAAATACTTCCCTCAAAGCTAAACTAATTAGTCTTAGTTGTCACATCTCCATTTCTTCACTATGAAGTCTTTAAGTCGAGCATTCTCTCACATTCATGGCTATTCTCATGCTTCCGAGAACTACCTACAGACCGGCTCTGGGAAGCCACCGGATGCTTGTTGTACCGGAGCCAAAACACTTGAATCGGCTGCTTGTTACTGCATTAAGTCTTCATCTAATGGCGTGAAGCCTGAATTTGCCTGGGATTTTCCAGCAAATTGTGGGATCAGTCTGTCCTTCAACGTCCCCGGAGGTTGACTGTTCTAAGTACTTAGACTAGCTCTTGTTTACTCACAGTTCTTTCCATGCACACACAAATTTTCTAGTTTCGTATTCAACCAATTTAAATTTCTTTTGTTTCTGTGTTCTTTGCAAAATCGGATGAATCAGGGCTAACCTACAATAAACTTGATCTTGATGGTGCCCTTTTCAACTCCTCCAGTAAATTATGCTTCTACTTACTGTTACTTTTAGATGTTTAGGTTACAAGAAATGTATTTTCCCATTTCACGGTTTGGGATGAGTTTTGTCTTTACTCTACAGCTTCTATTACAAATCTGATTTACATTTTTTATGAAAAGGGCACCTGAGGACACCAAAATGACCCGGGTTTGGTGTGATCCACATTGCATAAGACGGGTCGGGTGTGGACAAACGGGACGGAGCAAGTTCGCGCCGTATGGGCCCAGGTCCATAAAGTCATTTCAGAAGCCCATGTTAAAATGAGGGAAGTCGAGTCCAGCCAAAAGAGAACAAGATAGGTCCAGCTCAGTGGTGGTTATAACCGTCTATAAATAGAGGGGATTGAGAGGGAAAAGGGGTTGGAAAATCATTGGGAGTGTAAAGTTTCTCTCTCTACGATTAGGGAAAAATTCTTTGTACTTTCAATTGGCGCCGTCTGTGGGAAGAACAGGAAGAATTGATTGATATCATTCCAGATCGGATCGATTCAATGCATTCTGTGAGGAAGACGATTAATCTGCGAAAGCTGAATCAACATTGGTAATAATACGATTTGTCTTGACGAGTCCAGGTTCCGGTTGATTTCGGAAAATTGGTGTCCGATCTAAGCGGATCAGATCTGTGCTTGATCCGGTGAACTGCGCGGTTGTGATCTGTTGTGATTACTGAATCCAGCCAGTAGTGGACTGAATTCGGCAAGTGTAAGTTCACATCTGGTGTGTGCACGTTAGCGGAACTCCGATTTGATCAAGAAGCCTGCAGTTGATGACTTTGCTCTGATCTGGAATGATGATCGGAGAGGCAAACCCGAATTCTTTGGAGAACGGCCAGCAGACAAAGCTCGATGAGCTAATGAACATGATCGATGCTTTGAGGAAAGAAAATGCAGAGCTACGAGCTAGAATGGAGCATCGCGAGGCTCCTGCAATTTCGAGGCCGCCTCCTGAAGGAGAGGGAGCTTTACCGTCCGAAGCTGATCGTCAATCGTGGTGGTCCACGTCGTGATGAAGGTATAATCGGTAATCTGCCTCCGAATGTCGGCCAAGTAGAGGATCGGGAAGGATCTGTTCGTCTGGAACCGCATCACAAACGGATTATGAGGGAGGAAGCACCGGCATATGAACATAGGATTGCGTCACCATGGCGGAGTGAATTTGCGGAGGATAGGTCGTTCGATCCGCCATACCGACCTTCATTAGCGACAGTTGATTACCATAGCTCAGAAAGGAGATCTGCCGATCGAGGATTTCCGTCACGATTTTCAAGAGAAAACGAAGCATTGCGTTCCTCAGCAAGGACGGTCGCATCGCCGTTCACTGATGAAATTATGAATGCGCCGAATCCGAAGAAGTTTTCCATGCCGATCTTCATTCTCTTTGACGGAACAACTGATTCGGTCGATCACATATACCATATTCAGTTGAAAATGGCTTTGAATACTAATAATGATCCTTTGATGTGCAAGTGTTTCCCTACGAGCTTGGCTGGACCAGCTCTCAATTGGTTCAAGAATCTGGCTCAGGGCTCAATCGCCAGTTTCCAGGACTTATGCGATAAGTTCATAAGCCAGTATTACGGGAATAAGCGTCCGGCTAAGGATGTATCGAGCCTTTTCACAATGAAGCAACATGAGGATGAGCGGCTCCAAGCTTTTCTCACCCGGTTCAACCTCGTTAAAAGCATGGTAATGGAGTGTCACCCGTCAACAGCAGTCCAAGCATTTAAACTCGCAATGAACCGGGGGACGCCGTTCCACACCAGCTTGGTGGTTAATACGCCAAGGACAATGGACGAGCTGAACGAGAGAGCCGACGGTTTTGTTCGCCTTGAGGAGGAAGAAGCAGCTAATTCAAGAAAGACGTCAATTATTTTGATGGAGGAAAAGTCCAAAGCCAAGATCCGGCAAAAACAAGCTCAACCGCAACGTCACCCCTCATGGAAGGCGGAGAAGAGGCCTAGGGAGGAAGAATCAGTCACTCCATTCAGAGTCACCTTAGCAAGGCTATACCAGGAGAACAAAGATAAGTTTCGTCCTCCTCTGCCAATCAGGCAACCTCTTGAACAGAGGGATCAGACTAAACATTGTGCTTTCCATAGTGATTTTGGGCATTAGAATAACGAATGTAGGAACCTAAGGAGGCAGGTAGAGATGCTAATCGCAAAGGGGGAATTTGCAAGCTATGTTCAAGGTTCGGCGCAAGAGCATAATCGCTAGACTGAACAAATCAAGCGGAACCAGAGGCCGAACCAACACAACTCTCAGCCCGTCTGGATTATAAACGCAATTCATGGCCGGCCTGAACAAACGACGGAGTCAGAGGAGTTGCTCAGAACGAGGTTACGCCAGGCCCAGCTGAAACGAAGAATTGGTAGTGTGCATGCTTTGCACCAGCAGAATGCGTCCACATCGATAAAGTTTGATAAAACGGACCTGCTACGCGTTCAGATTCCTCATGAAGATCCACTAGTCGTCAGTCTGACGATTGCAGAATGCCTGGTTCGGAGAGTCCTGATTGATCCAGGAAGTAGTGCGAATGTCATGCCCAGGGTGACGTTCGACCGACTGGAGATCGAACCCGAAAAACTCAAACCCACAGGAAATCTGTTGCTCGGATTTGATGGGAAGCGAGTGGAACCCATTGGA